TTGTACATACAATTGTTATATGTCCGATAAACGGCATAATTTTAATCAAAATTAAATAAGCTCACACCTTAATGTGTGCTGGGATCACGTGATGGTTTAGCCAATGACAAAACATCAACATAGTCGGGCAGAGAAAAAGTTTGCAATTAGTAAATGATAATCTTTATGTAGCAAACAAACTTTGAATTTCAAGTATTAATTTCATATGTTTTCGGCAGAAGAAACTGTCTGAGGAGGGCCAGTCATTTTGTATCGTAAGATGGCTGCCGTTACAGTATCATGTGATTATCCCAAGCACTATCACGACTTAATGCGGGAATTATATATAAAGCTAACATGGGCGCGTCGCATAAAAGGAAATACCTTTTTATATTTATTTGTAATAAATCTTTTGGGTTTTATTGGATCAATCGATAACAAATAATGATGGTTTTTTTTGTAAATAAATAATATTTTCTCAAATCTGTGACTATGATTTTCAATGAAATTCTATACCTTTAATATATTTGAATGGTTTTTAATGCTCTGTAAGATAAAAAAAAGAAAGAAAAAAAATCATGTCCGTGTTAGGTATGTTTTTAATAAACCGGTGACCAGATTTAAGAGTTCAGAAACAAAGAAATATGCGGGGAAAAAAACGGGGTTTTATTGTTTATATTTCTATTTCTGTGGGTTTGCAAGATTTTCATATAGTCTGTTCAGTGGAAGATGTGTAATTTTGTGTTAATGTTTTAAACGCATGAAACTATAATATTATGATAATTTTTTTACATTCCATAAAAATGTTTAAAAATATGTTCAGAATATGTTCAGAATAGAAGTGTATTTTAATGTGCTTTTTTTTTAAAAAAAACTAACGGCCATAATTCTGTCAAAATTTTGAATGGCAATTTACAATATGTGTCAAGGCACTGAATGACAATGCTTCTGTTAAAGTTTGGCCAAAATTGCAAGAAAAGTAGCAGTTGTGAATGTGTATTACCTTTCTTCTTTGAAAACAACAACAAAGGGCAATTATTCTGCCAAAAATGTTTGAATAGCACAACACTCACAATATGCGCCAATGACACTTGATTAAATACTCTGTTAAAGTTTGGTCAAATATCTTAAGCAATGAAGAAGAAGTTAAGCGCAGAAGTGTATTTTTCTATTTCTAGAAAAACGAGCCACCGCCGGGCGGGACAACACTCAACTTTTTACTTTCTCTAAAAGCAAACAAAGAAATGTTTGAACAAAATCTTAACGTTTCCTTTTTATAAAATTAATCGATCTGTCTTGTCACATTAGTTTTATCTATATATTTTGTATATATAAATATACTAATTGATAAATATATATATAAATAGAAACAAGCAATTCTATGAATAGAAAATTCTATAAATAGAAACACACAATTCTATAAATAGAAAATTCTATAAATAGATACATGTGGTGGAGTCACGTGGTGAAGTCACGTGGTGAGTCACGTGGTGTAGTCACGTGGTGGAGTCATGTGGTGGTGACACTTGGTGGTGACACATGGTGGAGTCACGTGGTGGAGTCATGTGGTGGTGACGTGTGGTGGTGACGTGTGGTGGAGTCACGTGGTGGAGTCACATGGAGAAGTCACATGGTGGTGTCATGTGGTGGAGTCATGTGGTGAAGTCACCTGGTGTCATGTGGTGAAGCCACGTAGTGAAACATGATGAAGTCACATGGTGGTGTCACGTTGTGGTGTCATGTGGTGGTGTCATGTGATGACATGTTGCGAAGTCATGTGGTGTCACATGGTGAGGTTATGTGGTGTCACGTGGTGGTGTCACGTGGTGGAGTCACATTGTGGAGTCACATGGTGGTGTCACTTGGTGAAGTCACGTGGTGGTGTCACATGGTGTCACGATAAACAACAAGGTCTTGTCCTTAAGTATGTTCTGCTGTAATATGAAGTTGATCCCTTCAATAATAGCAAAGTTACAGCCAGTTACAGCCAAAACAATGAAAATTTCAATAATTTGAACTTCAAAGTCAAGGTCATTAATGCGTGAAGGTCAAGGTTTGCCTGGTTATTTTTAAGGGTTATCCTTTAAGATTATTATGTTCAAGTTTGAATACAATCCATTCAAAAATAACAAAGTTACAGCCAATAATAGCCAAAAAAAATGAAAATTTCAATAATTTGACCTTCAAAGTCAAGGTCATTAATGAGTGAAGGTCAAGGTCTGTCTGGATATTTTTAAGGGATATCCTTGAAGATTATTATGTTCAAGTTTGAAGACAATCCATTCAAAAATAACAAAGTTACAGCCAATAACAGCATGAACAAGCAAAATTTGGACTTTTAACCTTGAAGGTCAAGGTCATTTATGGGTGATGGTCAAGGTTAGTGTGGTCTACTGACAGGTCTTGTCCCAAGGGTTGTTATGGCCAAGTATGAAGACAATACACCAAGAAATAAAAAAAGTTATGGTCCAGGTACAAGTTTGCGCCGCGACTATACCAATACCTCTTCTTTTTTTTTCAAAAAAAAAATTTGAGCTAACAAAGGGCCAAAATTTTGCCAAAAATGTTTGCATTGCACAACAATGACTGTATGAGCTAGGGCACTTGATGAAAAAGCTTCTATGACAGTTTGAGGAATGAATGAGTTGCTCACAAAAGATTTTTCTGTGTGCTTTTCAAAAAACAAAGGGAAATAATTACACCAAAAACGTTTGAATCACAAAACACTGACAATATGCATCAGGGACTTCATGACATAGCTTCTGTGAAAGTTTGGTCAAAATCCCTTGAAAAATGTAGGATACCCCTAACCTGCTGACATAAACCATTCCGATAATCAGATTTTACCTCTGTAAAACCTGGTTTACAAGAATTTGCCATTGAGTAAATACCAACGTCCCCCGCCTCTGGCAAGTTTTATAAGAAGCATAAAATTGTGCAATTTCAAAAGATTGAGGTATGGATCTAAGTACTTTCAGTCCAAAATTATGATCAATTCTAGATCTGCAAATTCAACATTAAATTTATTAAAGAAATAAAAAGAAACACTGAATTTAAAAATCTATCATGTTAAGCTTTGACCTCTAAGTGTGACCTTGACCTTGAAGGTAGGGGTGCAGGTGTTATGCATGACATATTGTCTTATTATTGTAACTATTTGTACCAAGTATTTTCAAAATCCCTTGAACTATGAAGAAGTTATAGATGGGACATAAAATATACCCTCTAGTGACTGTTAATCTTTGACCTCTTACTGTGACCTTGGAGGTAGGGACCTATGTTTTGCACCTGACACGTTGTCTTATTATTGTGATTATTTGTGCAAAGTATTTTTAAAATCCCTTGATCTATGAAAAAGGTACGGACGGGACACAAAATATACCCTATAACAGACTATGTAAATCTTTGACCTCTACATGTGACCTTGACCTTGGAGGTAGGGACACTGGTGTTACGTATGACATATCATCTTATCATTGTGACTATTTGTGCCAAGTATTTTTAAAATCCCTTGATCTATGAAGAAGTTATGGACAGGGCACAAAATATACCATATAACAGACTCTGTTAACTTTTGACCTCTAAGTGTGGCCTTGACCTTGGAGGTAGGGGTGCAGGTGTTGTACTTGGGCCATCCTTAAAAAAATGTTTGTTTGCAGTAACGCGACCGACTCACAAAATTTGCCCCTACTCAAAAGTTTTTTTCATGGTCTGGATAAAAATTTATTTTTTTTGAATCAGAAAATTATGCCTTGTGCTTTGTTTTTGTTCTTTTAAAGGTTAATAGAAGAAATAAAATGTAGGTATTATTTAATTAGAATTCAGTTATCAATTTATTAATTGTTACCAGATTATCAAAGCATATATTGTCCAGCATTTTGAAATTCCATGTTTATTTGGGAGTACAGTTCAATAAAAAAAAAATAAAAAAAAATATAAAAAAATCGACCTACCTACCCACCTTGAAAATTCTGGGTCGGGTTACTGCAAACAAACATTTTTTTAAGGTTGGCCTTGACATATCGTCTTATTATTGTGACTATTTGTGCCAAGTATTTTCAAAATCCCTTGAATTATGAAGAAGTTCTAGATTGGACACAATATATGCCCTTTAACAGAATTTGTTAATTTTTTACCTCAAAATGTGACCTTGACCTTGGAGGTAGGGATGCAGGTTTTGCACATGACACATTGTCTTATTATAGTGACTATTTGTGCCAAGTATTTTCAAAATCCTTTGATATATTAAAAAGTTATGGACCGGACACAAAATATACTCTATAACAGACTATGTTAATCTTTGACCTCAAAGTATTACCTTGACCTTAGAGGTAGATGAGCGATTGTTGTGCATGACACATCATCTCATTATTGTGAAAAATTGTGGCAAGTATTTACAAAATCCCTTCAATTAAGTTATAGACCGGACACAACATATACCCTCAAATAGACAATGTTGACCTTGAATGAGCAAGTGCGTTCTTGACCCTGGAGGTAGGGGTCTGGTTGTTGCACATGACACATCCTCTTATTATAACAAACATTTGTGCCAAGTTATTTCAAAGTCCTTTGATAAATGACAAAGTTATGGACCGGAACACGAAATATACCCTGTAACAGACTATGTTAATCTTTGACCCCCAAGTGTGACCTTGACCTTAGAGATAGGTGACCGGTTGTTGAGCATGAAACATCTTCTCATTATTGTGAGCAACTATGGCAAGTATTTACAAAGTCTCTTCAAAGATAAAAAAGTTATGGACCGGACATGACATATACCCTCAAATTGACAATGTTGACCTTGAATGAGCAAGTGCGACCTTGACCCTGGAGGTAGGGGTCTGGTTGATGCGCATGACACATCATCTTATTATTACAAACATTTGTGCCAAATTATTTCAGATTCCTTTAATAAATGACAAAGTTATGGACCATACACGAAAGTGTGACTGACGTAGCCCATTTCTATATCCCCCTTTTTTCTTCGAAAAGGGGGGGGGGGACAAAAATTGCATACATACCAGTTCCTACCAATGGCAGAGCTATTGAATGGCAATTATATGATTTCATTGCAAGAAATATATTGCGAAGAGAAGATGTCACTTTGAATTCCCTATCATCTTTGCTGCAGTGAATCTTCTGGTGTAAAATGGTATGTGCAACCCATTTGAAGTTAGGTAGGTCACTTTTACATACAACTACATCCCCTTCTTTAGGTCTTGGAACAAACATTTTAGTCATTTCAGATTTATAAACATTACCACCTCTTTGTTGGATAGCATTTGCTAAATATCCTTTGGTTTTGCCTGTTGGGATATTACCACATGCTATCATATCTTTACGAGTTATATTGAGAATATCTACTGTATAAATATACAAATTTTGACCAGGTCCAATACAACAGGCAAATTCTTTCTTTGAATGTCCTGGTGGGTAATCCCTATGATAGTATGGATATATCACTAATCCAGATTGTCCTTTTTCAAATCTATGGAAGTCATCAGCATTGTTCTTGCCAGGAGTCTGGTCCTGCTTTCTTGGACTCAATTTTCTATCTGGAAATTAAAAGAGACTTTTGATGAACAAATATATTATTTAAAATGATTAAAGATATATTATGCTCAAATTTGATGTTAGAAAATATTGAAAATTGTTTCACAGTCTCTTTATAAATAAAATGTATAAAGTAAACATGTTTTGACTTTACACAAAGTAGATATGTTCTGTTTTATCTGTTTTAAACTCTACACAATATAGGTAGGTACAATATGAATTTATAGAATCATTAAAAAACAAGCAATTATCATAGTATTGCAAGCAATCCATAAGTCCCCTACCAGTTAGAACCCAAGCAACATTCTGATGGGCCATCGGCCATTCAATTTTACCAGTGAATGAATGACATGAATGAACTTAAATCTTTTGAGTTGTAAGTTTGTCTATATCACAGTAATGTGTTAAGTTTCCCTGCCTAGTAAGGAAATAATGTTTATACAACCTTGTCATATTATTACAATGTGGGATTTTAAAGTAAATCCTATAAGGAATAAAGAAGTTGGAGTGAAAAATACCAATTTCTCGAAAAAAAATCTAAGTTCAAGGGGGACATAATCCTGGAAATAGTCTTGCTAGAGTATTTAACCTTCTCAAAAATGTTGAGTGATAATAAGAAACATATATATGAAGTTTGAAGTAGATACATTTGGAAATAAAGAAGTTATTTAAAAAAGACAACATTTTTTTTCATAAAAATTCTAAGTTCAAGGGAGGTAATACTGATAATTTTTGTGCTAGAGTTGTAAACCTTGTCACATATGATGTGGTTGATGACCAGAAACTTATATTTAAAGTTTGAAGTAAACACCTTAAGAAATAAAGAACTTATAGTGAAAAAGCTGAAAAATTTAAATCAGAAATCTTGAAATTCAGGCTATTTGTTGCCATAGCAACCAGAATTTTTAACATAATTAGGAAGAAAAGAAAAAAGCTGTGCATAATCTCCAGACTGCCATCTACCCATATTTCAAGTTTCATAAAAATATTTTTAGTACTTTTTGAGTTATCACTGGATCCAGTTTATGTGTTAAATTTGCCATATTTTCAGACTATTAGTTGCAAAAGCAACCAGAATTTTCTACATAGGAAGAAAATAAAAAGACTTTCATAATCTCCATACTGCCATCTATCCATATATCAAGTTTCATAAAAATATTTTCAGTACTTTTTGCGTTATCGCGGGATCCAGTTTTGTGGACGGACGGACTGACGGACTGACAGACGGACGGACAGACGGACAGACGGACGGAGGGTAAACCTAAAGTCCCCTCCGGTTAAACCGGTAGGGGACTAAAAACTGGCAGTTTTTTTAAGAAAAGGCCAACTTTACTTGACCTGTAATAGGGAACACAACTACAAATACATAATTAATTTATTCATTCCTTTGTTCAAATTAGACATATTCAGTAAGAATCTTATAGATTTAAATAAATTTCCTTGATATAAATATTTTACTCAAAGATTAGCAAGTTAAGATTATTCTTTTAAGATGCCAGGTATGTCACATAAAAAACATGCTCTATATGCTAAATTGTTCATAGTAAAGCAAGAGTCTGCATGACTGGACTTTTAAAAACATTGATGTGATAATTCAGCAAAAATACATTGTACCATTAAGTTTCTTAGTTAAAAGGATATATTGAATAAGTTCTTCTGTTATAACTAAGTTATCTTAAAATAATGGTTAAATTGTATATCCATTTCAAAACAGAAAGTTAACTGGAGGGTGTGAGTATTAGATACCTGTACTCCAGTAATTGCAATGCCTGTTACAGAGTAAAACAAGAACATGTTTGGTCAACGCAAATGCCCTAAGCTAAGATTCTAGTCAGTTACAATTTTTCAAAAAAAAGATTACCCCATTCACTCAGTTATGGACAGAATAACTGCCAATAAAAACTGTAAACAATGTTATATAACCTAAAACAGTCATGATGTTTTGTGTTGTTCAGCAATATTGACCTGAGACTCATTAATGTTCAGTATTTTTTTGTGTTGGTTTCTGTTATTCATTAAGGTTTAATAACTGATCTTTAATGACAGGAAAGTTCTCAATACTTTATTTTAAATAAAGTCCCGATGGCCTAGTGGTAAGTAGGATATCATACCAATCCTGAAGTTGCAAGTTCAAATCCTCTATTTTTTTTCCAGATTTCTTTATTATTTGTTTTAACTTTATGCAGCATTAGTGGATGAATAATTTCTTGAATTTCTTTTCTTTGAAAAAAATCATAACTAAATTGATATAACTAGAACTGCCACTATCATGGCATGAATACCCCCGCATACCACTTTGTCAGAATCAACAGTGGCCATTTAGAGCTTAAGGACAACCTCCCTGCAAAATCTGAGGTTACTAAGCCAGTGCATTGCTAAGTTATGTAATCTACATGCTTCAAATGTGAAAATGTCAAAATCAATACATTGCGGACAGGACATTCTTTAGCAATTGAGAAGAAAAGCTTTTTTTGTCAAGGTCCCTGTGACCTTGACCTTTGACCCAGTGACCTCAAAATCAATAGGGGTCACCTTATAGTCATGATCAACATCCATGCCAAATATGAAGACTGTGGATCAAAGGAATCTTAAGTTACTGGGCAAACAAACTTTTTGAAGTCAAAGTCCCTGTGACCTTGACCTTTGACCTGATGACCTCAAAATCAAAAGGGGTCATCTACTTATCATGACTAACCTCCATGCCAAATATGAAGACTGTGAGTCAAAGGAATCTTAAGTTATAGGGCGGACAAGCTTTTTGAAGTCAATGCCCCTGTGACCTTGACCTTTGACCTGGTGACCTCAAAGTCAATAGGGGTCATCTACTTATCATGACTAGCCTCCATGCCAAATATGAAGACTGTGGGTCAAAGGAATCTTAAGTTATTGGGCGGACAAGCTTTTTGAAGTCAAGGCCCCTGTGACCTTGACTTTTGACCTGGTGACCTCAAAGTCAATAGGGGTCATCTACTAATCATGACTAACCTCAATGCCAAATATGAAGACTGTGGGTCAAAGGAATCTTAATTTATTGGGCGGACAAGCTTTTTGAAGTCAAGGCCCCTGTGACCTTGACCTTTGACCTGGTGACCTCAAAATCATTAAGGGTCATCTACTAATCATGAATAACCTCAATGCCAAATATGAAGACTGTGGGTCAAAGGAATCTTAAGTTATTGGGCGGACAAGCTTTTTGAAGTCAAGGCCCCTGCGACCTTGACCTTTGACCTCAAAATCAATAGGGGTCATCTACTAATCATGACTAACCTCTATGCCAAATATGACGACTGTAGGTCAAAGGAATCTTAAGTTATTGGGCGGACATGCTTTTTGAAGTCAAGGCCCCTGTGACCTTGACCTTTGACCTAGTGACCTCAAAATCAATTGGGGTCATCTACTAATCATGACTAACATCCATGCCAAATATGAAAACTAAGGGTCAAAGGAATCTTAAGTTTTTGGGCGGACAAGAAAAAACCGATGGACGGACGGATGGACGAGCTGATTCCTGTATACCCCAATAACTTGTTGTGCGGGGGTATAAAAATGTATATGTAAATTTTCATAATTTCAATTTGTACAGTCATATAATGGGTGATTTGCATGCACAAAAAAATTAGTAGTCAACCTTTGCAAAATATAACAAAAATACAAAAAAAATGCTTCATTAAGATTCGAATATGCAACCTTTAACTGGAATTTAAAAGTGTTAACTCCTTATCCTCGATGATAGCTAGGCAAGTATTGTTGGTAACTTGAAGATATACATAAACCATTTGTACTGCTTTGCAAAATTAATTATCTGAAGATGAAACTATAGGGTAGTGCAACTCAGGTTATTCAAGGATTTATTTTTATGCATGCAAATTACATTCAAGAAGTTGATTTACTGAAGAAGAGGTTCGGGCAGTCCCATTAAATCATTCATGCAAATATACAGGCCTAACTAAAACCTGCCCACTCTGAGTAATACTCTACACAGTATGAGAATTTATATAGACAAAATAAGAAGCCTATATCCATGGATTGGAGTATCTAGGCCGGTTTCAAAATAATTATGGACTGCTTTTAGTACCAGTCATTATAGACAAATATCCAGGAGAAATTCACAAGAGTTTGGCATGAGAACATGGCAGCCATAACTGGTTACTAGAGACTTTATGCAAAGTGTTATACCACAAACTGAACATCTTGGAGGTCGGACAGACTACAGAAGATTTAGATAGTTAAAGACCTAAGTGTAACTTCTCACCCTGGTAAGACAGAAGCAAGGAACTAAAATCACATGACACAGAAATCAGCACGCAAAATGTTTGATAACCAGGAAAAGTGTATTTTCTGCAGCCAATTTCACAATGCCAACGATTGTACAAAAGTACGGTACCTGATGTAAGAGCTTGAAAAGCCATTATAAGAAATAAACATTTATAATATATGTTTTAATTGTTTAAATATTCACAACCAAGTCATTAACAGTCGATCATACAACATGTGCTTTAAATGTAGAAGAAAACATCATACTAGCATATGTCAAAGTAGTCGAGATTCAAATCCAAATATCTGTACTAGAGAGTCAACCAAACCTTCAACCAACAAGAAATGTGTTGTCACGCCACAGACACCACCGCATGCAACCAAAATTTCAGATGTTACAATATTCAGTTCCAAATTTGTTTGCACAAACTATTTTTTTCATTTTAAGTGCAAAGTCCTTAAAACTATTCAATGTAAACACAAACCATTTTTAAACAAAATTTCAAGGCACTGAAACTATTCAGTGTTAACCTTTTGTAAATTGCATATTGAATATTTTAGCAAAAATAATGACTACATACATTTCCACAAAAGTATGAGTGCTGAAACTGAAAAATCAAAATTTTTCCAACATTCAAGAGAGATAACTTTGTCCAAAATCATTGAACCACGACCAAATTCCAACTTGAACTGCTTATTCCTAAGATGTATGTATATGTCAAATTTGAGTTGAATGTGAACACCATTGGGGAAACTAAAAAATTCAATTTTTTTTTTCAAAGTTCAAGAGGGATAACTCAGCTATCATTAAACCATGACCAAATTTAAACTTGAAAAAATTCTTATGACATATCCATACATTAAATGTGTATAACTATTGGGGAGATGATGAACGAAAATGAAAATTTCCTTTCTTATCAAAGTGAAAGGGGGCATAACTCTGCCCAAAATCATGGAACCATGACCAGATTCAAACTTGACCTGCGGATTCCTTTAACATATTGATATGTCAACTTTGAGTTGAATGTGTAATACTGTTGGGGAGATAATGAATGGAAACTAAAAAATTCATATTATTTTCAAAGTAAAAGGGGCATAACTCTGCCCAAAATCATCGAACCATGACCAAATTTGAACCTGACCTGTACATCCTTCGACATATCCATTTGTCAAATTTATGTTAAATATGTACAACTATTGGGGAGATAATGAATGGAGATAATGAACGGAAACTGAAAATTTCATATTATTTTCAAAGTGAAAGGGGCATAACTCTGTCAAAAATCATCGAACCATGATCAAATTCGTACTTGTATTTTCTCATGATATATCCATATGTCAAATTTGAGTTGAATGTGTGCAACCGTTACTGAGATAATGAACGGAAACTTATGATGACAGAATGATGGAGTGACGTAAGGACGGAACAGGATAACACTATATGCCCCAGCAATTTCTTTTCCCAAGAATCTTTGGGATTGGGCTCAAATGTATGTGCCGTGAAATAATGCCAAAGTATGTGTGTCCTTAGAGTAGTTACTTCCTATGTTTTGTAGTTTGAAACTTTAGTAGTATTGAATAGACGTATAAAACAAACACAATGTATTGAACATTATTTTTCCTAGCATAGTATTATCCTTAGATAAATTGATAATCATGTACTTTGTATTGATACCTATGTGTGGAAATTAGATGATATGAAGCCATTTATACAGACAGAACATATAATAAGATATAATATCCACCTTGTCATTTAGGTTAACCTCATATGGACAGACGAACATGCGACAGACGGACATGCAACCAAATAAGGGTAAAGGGCCATTTCTATTCTATATTTTTTTTTTTTATAGAGGGCCATTGGCCCCTTCATCTATTGTTACGGAATTAACTTTTTCTCTTTTGTTCTGAATTGAGCTTGATGCTCCCTTTTAAAAGATGAAACAAAATTGTAAAAACCTGGTACATAATATTATCTTACCCTTTCTATATGTAGCTACTGATTTCACATATCTCATCTTATTGTAGGATTTGGGAATGTGCTCATTGGGTATCATTGACTGAAATGTATTGTGCATGACCTGTACCATTTCCATATTTGTATCCACAAAGTGAATTTCCTTCAATGGTGATTTTGAACATCTACTATAGTCTACCACAGCTTTGGCATACTGGATACTACATAGATCAAGCGGACAGCCATAAATTCCTGCAACATAAACATGATTATACAGTGCAATACACCTGACATCACTAAATTTAAGTCAACATTAGTCTTGCGGTAAATATGTATTGCTATCCAGCTGGTGTATATCTTAGTCCAATAATTATAAACAAGAAGGCCATGATAGCCCTGAAATTGTTCACCTGAATATGAAAACTCTCCAAGACAAGGAACAAGTTATACTGTAAACTATAAACAAAATTAGATATAAAATCTAAATCTTTTGATCTTAAGAAATAAATTTTCAAATGATTACTATATAAATACTGGCATGCAAGCAGTTCCCGTACAAAAATCGTAGTTACTTATTTTTTATTACGCTCACACACCAAACAAGAGGGCCATGATGGCCCTGAGGTCGCTCACCTGTATATAGGCCCCCCCACCAACGGGCCAATTTTTACCCAAGGGCTTTTATTTGTTTATTTGAACAGACTTGATAAACACCCATAAGAAGATGTTTCATGCTAAATATCTAAGTTCTAGGGTTTTTTTAAAAGAAGATTTTTAAAGTTTTTACTATACACATATAGTTAAAAACAATGACACCCCTGGGGCAGGGCCAGTTTTGACCCCCGGGCTTTTATTTGAACAAACTTTGTAGATATTTACTTAAAGATGTTTCATGCTTAATATCTAAACTCTAGCTATTTGGGTTTTTTCAAAGAAGATTTTAAAGTTTTTGCTATACCCATATAAGGAAAATCAATGACCCCCCCCCCCCGGACGGGGCCAGTTTTGACCCCAGGGGCTTTTATTTGAACATACTTGGTAGACACCCATTAGAACATGTTTCATGCTAAATATCTTAGCTCTAGCTTATTGAGTTCTTTAAAAGAAGATTTTTTAAGTTTTTACTAATTATGCATATACTGGGAAAATCAATGACCCCCTGGGGTGGGGCCAATTTTGACCCCAGGGCTTTTATTTGAACAAACTTGGTAGACACTCATAAGAAGATGTTTCATGCTAAATATCTTAGCTCTAGCTCTTTGGGTTCTTTAAAAGAAGATTTTTTAAGTTTTTACTATACTGCTATATGCATATAGGGAAAATCTATGACCCCCTGGGGCGGGGTCAATTTTGACCCCAGGGCTTTTATTTGAACAAACTTGGTAGACATTCACTAGAAGATGTTTCATGCCAAATATCTAAGCTCTAGCTCTTAGGGTTTTTTAAAAGAAGATATTTAAAGATTTATCTTTCGGTTGCCATGGCAACCAGAGTTCTGCATGGAATTAAATTCTTTGAACAATTTTTAAAGGTGACCACCAAAGGAACATTCCTGTGAAGTTTGGATGAAATTGGCTCAGTGGTTTATGAGGAGATGTCATTTAAAGCAAAAGTTTACGGACGGACGATGAAGGGAAGGACGGACGCCGGACGAAAAGCGATCACAAAAGCTCACCTTGAGCTAAAAATTGAATGTTACAAATCAATATTCAGCTGTCACACAAATCATGGAAATTCCATAATTTTCTAAACATAGAATAACCCTATTTATGAGGCCTCATATGGGTTTCCGAAATTATTCATTATTTTGTATGAAGAGAAGTAGTTCCCGTACGTAAAATATAACCCATAATAATTATACAAATTTGTTATATCAGACCTATTTTTCTTTTATAATTGTTGAAGAGACCATTTCTCACAGGTAGGTAAATGTAATTAATGATATAGAGCGTAGACTTAACACTGGTATCTATTTCCCAGTACTCAGGTACCCCAACGCAATCACGTACAATGGCGTGCTAATAATTATAATAATGTATGCATGATATTTTTCTTCATTAAAACCATTAAATTATAAAATATAATAATATAGGTAATTAAACAGATTTTCATCGCATTGCCTACTTATTTGTACGCAGGTTGTATTTATGCAAAACCCTCACCTGTAAGTATTTTTTGCGCATGCGCGCAAGGACGGAATCCCCCAAAGGTTACAAGGTTATGTTTTCACAACACAGGTGAAAGTGATTTAAAATGAAAACTTTCTATACGAACTGCCGAACTGACACCTATATTTTCTCTCGTTTATGCATCTGCTTGATTAGAAATCAATTTTTGAAGTATGCAAGTAAAAATCAAGCGTTTAAACAAAAAATACGGGTACTGCTTCTGTACGGGAACTGCTCGCATGCCAGTACATGTATAAGGAAAATCAATAACCCCTGGGGTGTGGCCAATTTTGACCCCAGGGTTTTTATTTGAACATATTTGGTAGACACTCACTAGGAGATGATTCATGCTAATAGAAATATTTAAGCAGTTTTTAAAAGAAGATTTTTTAAGGTTTTACAATACATATACAGTATAAGGAGAATCAATAACATCCTTGGGCTGGGAAACTTTGAAACCAACTTGCTTTGATTTGAATAAACTTGGTACACACCCACTAGAGGATTAATAATATCTAAGGTCTAGCTCTAGCTCTTTGGGTTTTTTAAAATAAGATTTTTTAAGTTTTTTTCAATATTATAACATACAGTGCACTCCGGATACAATGAGATCGTCGGGACTTCGGATGATTCCTCGTTATAACCGGGTCTCGTTATAACTGGGAAAGAACAAATTGAGAAATCTGACACCGTCGAGCATCATTTATTTCTACTTTTGCGTGCATCCTTTTTGAAGAGTATATAATGGGAGGTAATTCTTTGCAATCAGAAGTTTTTGTTTTATTTAAATATACATGTATATAGATATATCTAGCTATCAAAGAATTTAAACAAAACATGAAAACACAACCTACGTCTAACTGCGTGTGTTTTTTTATTAATATGTACATTTTAAAATTTGTTTTCAAAAGTCACGCAGTGCATTTCTCACAAACACCAAATAACACTGCAAGAAATTAGCTGCTTCCTTTGTGCTAATCACTCAATGAAATTGTTTTGTTAAGACATTTCGTCACCTTAACGGCAATTTAGCCCAGAGTGCTGACAAAACAAGGCTGACAGACTTGATCGCTAATTGCTCGAACCATTATCTTGTCCCGCGTCAATAATTTCTTCCTTAATTGACCTTTATTATTGGTCATCATTTTTTTTCTCAAGGTGACAAACTGATGCAGACGAAGTGCAAATGAAGTGACCTCGTTAAAATTCTGAAAAATACGCATGGGACGGCGAAATTATGTACGTTGTAACCGATATCTTGCTAGAACTGATCTTGTTAAAAACGATAAAAAATGAAAGGAAAATAGAAGGAAAAAGGCCAGGACACAGTAGAATGTATGTTGTAAGCTATACCTCATTAAAATCGATCGCGTTATATATAAGTGGTGTAGACTGTATATAGAAAATCAATGACCCCTGTGGCAGGGCCAAATTTGAACAAACTTTGACCCCCGGGGATTTATTTGAACACGCCCACTAGAAGATGTCTCCTGCTAAATATCTTAGCTCTAGCTCCTTGATTTATTTAAAAGAAGATTTTTTTTTTGTTTTACTATATACAATATATAATATGTATAGATACATATATACATGTATAAGGATAATCAATGACCCTCTGGAGCAGGGCAAAATTTGACCCCAAGGCTTTTAATTGAACAATATTGGTAGACTCTCACTAGAAGAAATTTCATGATAAATATCTAAGCTCTTAAGCTCCATGGAAGATTTTTTTAATTTTTACTATATACACATAAGAAAAATCAATAACCTCCCGGGATAGGGCCAATTGTGACCCCTGGGCTTTTATTTAAATAAACTTGGTAGTCACTCACTAGAAGATGATTCATGCTAAATATCTAGGCTCAAGATCTTTGGAGTTTTTAAAATAACATTTTTTAAGTTTTATTAAGCACATTTTAGGAAAATTAATGACCACATTAGCGTGGGGCCAATTTTGACCCCAGGACTTTTATTTGAAAAAACTTAGTAGACACTCACAAGAAGATGATTTGTGCCAAATATCTAAGCTCTATATTAAGCTCTTTGGGTATTTTTAAAGAAGATTTTTTTTTAAAGTTTTTTCTGTCTGTTACGATGTCAACCTGAGTTCTGCATTGAATCAATTTTTAAAGATCAGCAAAGTAAAAATTACTTTGAAGTTTGGATGGAGATGTCGTTTTAAGTTTAATAATAAACAGACGACAAATGTAGGGATGACAGAGGGATGGACATGTGACTAAATTGAGAAAAAGGGTCATTTCGACGGATAGAAGATGAACAAATTGTGATTACAAGAGCTCGTCTTGTCACTTTGTAGCGAAAAATAAGATCATCTTTAAAATCATGCAGTTTTCCCAAAAATCTGAACTCAAGCCTTATTTTTTTTCTTTTTCTTTTTTTTCTTTTTATTCACTCAAACCTAATTTTTTACTTTTTAAATTAGCAATTTTAGCGGCATTTTTTCCCAAAATCAAGTGGCTAAGGCCTCTTCCTAATTAAGTGAGAAAAAATTACTGGGACCACTGGCTAGGAGCCTAGCAGGACACCAAATACAAACTTGACAGGGCACAAGGCAAAGCACAGACATGTGATTTCTATAATAATACATAAGGGGTAATGATAAACCTTTTATGACAAACCTTTTTTTCTACCCCTAAAAACAAAATTTTCAACAAAAAAATGTCACACATCAGAGAAATAAAAGATTTTTCTTATGTATGTGAAAGGATGTCTAAACCTCTGTTTAAAATTCATCTTTTCATTCTTTAATGTTCCCATTGTCTATTAAAAATTCAAGTGAACTTTTACTAAAATGCTTTTATTACATGTACATTATTCTGAGACTTGATAAAACTTTAAATAAAGGTACAGTGGGTCAAAAAGTAGAACTCTCCATTTTATTTGACTGAAGCAGAAGTAGTTTGTTACTTCAAAACAGACATTTTAAACAGTGTCTAAACATATAGAAGGATAGAATATTGCAGTAAAGAAGATTCCTAGAAAACATCATTTTCTTTGACAAATTACAATTAAAATTTCCTATTTGACCTTGAAAGTCAAGATTGCTTATTATATCAAAATCATACTTAAATTATTCAACATTTTGGTGTTGCCATAACAAATCTGTCCATTATAATTCATAAATTAATCTAAATTTAACAATATGACCTTGAAGGTCAAAGTCATTCAAAAGCCAAAGTCGCATTTAATTAACCATTATATCAGTTTTGTCATAATATTTATTGTGTCCAAGAATAAATCAAATCCATAAATAAGTAAGTTAATTAAAATAAATGAAGAAAAATACTTAAATTCAACCTTGATAGTCAAGGTTACTAAAAGGTCAAGGTCATAATTAAATCATATAAAATGCTGGTTTTGACTAAACATAAACTAGAACTATCACTAAATGTGATTTATACCCCCGTAGGACTGCCTCGGTAATGGGGAAGTTACTAGTAACAGAATACCTTGCAAAAGAATTGAAATAGAGTTATGGTTTTGGGCAATTAAAGATAGTTGTGGTTCTTAAATGTTGCATTTCCTTTCAATGTGGTTGACCATTGATTAAGTTTTATTTAATCACATGTACTCTGTTATAAGTCCATAAAGAGTTACCCTTCCTCTCATTGCACTTGACCATTGAATGAAATTGTTTTGAATTCCAACCAGTAGTTTTCAACTTTATAATGCTCCGGACAAGGAAAAGAAACAAAGGGCAAAACTCTGTAATTAGTCAAGATTGAGTTATGATTCTTGTGCACTGCACTTCCTCGCAATGTGCTTGACCATTGTATGAAGTTATATTGAATTCCAACCATTAGTCTTTTGTTATGCTCCGGACAAAAAAAGTAATGGAAAAGTAACAAAAGGCAATAACTCTGTAATTACTTAAGATAGAGTTATGGTTCTTGTGCACTGCACTTCTCTTTATTGTGCTTGACCATTGTCTGAAATTGTTTTGAATTCCAACAAGTAGTTTTCAAGTTATGCTCCGGACATGGAAAAGTAACTAAGGGCAATAACTCTGTAACTATTGAAGATGGAGTTATGGTTCTTGTGCACTGCACTTCCTCTCAATGAGCTTGAACATTGTATGAAGTTGCATTGAATTCCAGCAATTAGTCTTTAAGTTATGCTCCGGACAAGGAAAATGCAAACCAACCGACTGACCACCAAGTGACTCCTATATACCCCCCCCCCCCCACACAAACTTCTTTTCGGGGGTAAAATAACAAAGTTATGACAATTAAATCAAATTTCAATAATTTCATTTCAACATATGAGTCAATGTCATATTAATATAAAGCAACATATTGGATTTGTCATATGTATTCTTTTGTCCAAAGATACATTAGATCATTCTCTAAATAAAGAAGTTTCATTTAAGAAAATTTAAGAAAATTTTGATGATTTGTACTAAAAGGATGGTCAGATTGGATCGCTTTAATCATGTACGTTTCTTGTCCAAATATAAATCAAATCTGTGATGATATTAAAAATTTAGATAATTCAAGAACCTTTCCTATTTTGGTCATTTACAGGTCCATACAAAAATTTTCATGAACTTATGTCTTGTGTGATGGATTGTTATGCTGAGGTATGAAGACATACAAAGACTTAAGTTATAGCCAATTATAGCAAAACAAAGGTCAAGGTAATTATGATTCAAGGTTAAATTGAGTTTGAATTTCTTTGAGATATTGCCCTTAAGGTAGTTACGTGCAAGTTTGAAAACAATCCATTCATAAAAAAAGTTTTAGCCAACTAGCAAAAAACAAGCAAAATTAAAAAATTAGACATTGAGGGTCTTGGTCATTTATGAGACTAGGTCAAGTTCAGTTTGGTTTACTTAAATGTCTTCTCCAAGGCTTGTGTCCAGGTATAAAGAAAAAATATTAAGAAACAAAACAATATGACTAATGTTAAAGATTTTGCACAGCAAAGGTAACTGAAACAACAACCTAACTGTAGCAATCACGCGAAAATTTTCTTATAAAAAGACGAGCTTACAAAATGTGTATATTCTGTTTTCACTGCAGTAATATATTTTGTTTTAACTGTATCGGTACATCATTTTTGTAATAAAGTGATAGCTAATAATTATACCTGAACTAATAGAAGACACTGCAATTGTCGCCATTTTCAATTTTTCTGCCTCAGATAAACTGTTTATCACGGCATTGTATAAATCTGTTTCACATCTCTCAACATCTCTCTGTAAAACATATCAAATATTTGGAAAGTGATTCAACAATATGTGCACATACATGCAATGATATATTCAAACAAGCAATTATCATAGTATTGCAAGCAATCCATAAGTCCCCTACCAGTTAGAACCCCAGCAACATTCTGATGGGCCATTGGCCATTCAATTTTACCAGTGAATGAATGACATGAATGAACTTAAATCTTTTGAGTTCTAAGTTTGTCTATATCACAGCAATGTGTTAAGTTTCCCTGCCTAGTAAGGAAATTATGTTTATACAACATTGTCATATTTTTACGATGTGGGATTTTAAAGTAAATCCTATAAGGAATGAAGAAGTTGGAGTAAAAAATACCAATTTCTCTAAAAATCTAAGTTCAAGGGGGACATAATTCTGGAAATAGTCTTGCTAGAGTATTTAACCTTCTCAAAAATGTCGAGTGATAATAAGAAACATATATATGAAGTTTGAAGTAGATACATTAGGAAATAAAGATGTTATTTAAAAAAAGACAGCATTTTTTTTCATAAAAATTCTAAGTTCAAGGGAGGTAATACAGTGAAATTTGAGAAAACCGGACGCTGAGAAAATCGGAACTCTCTAAATACTGGACGAATAAGTCAGTCCCAAATTTTCCCTTCTTTAAACTATTGTATTAAACATTGACAATACCGGAATCTGTAAAAACCGAATATCGGACGGTTGAAAGGGGACTACAAAGTCCATTATATAGACAATTACCCTGACAATACCGGACGACAAAGGTGTGAATAACCTTGTGTACTTATCAATTGGTTGTGTCTTATACGCTAACTGGGCGGTAATGGAACAATGATTATCTGATTTGTTATTACAGTTTGATTCATTGTAAGGTATAGATGTTATCGTTTTATATAAATGCCGAAATGCACGAGAAATTGATAAGTTAAAATCAGAATGAATGAAAAATAGAATATTATTATACTGCATTGCTTTTTGTATATTCATTTTCCGAAATGACAACGCAACGGAAACGACATTTATCAGCGCTAAGTTCTATTCCATGGCCTAAAAGAATCGACGAGAGCTGTCTTTAAGTGACAAATTTAAATTAGTTAAAGACAGTGAAACTTTGCCGAGACCTACATCTGACAAATATGGTATAAGCAATATTTACAATTGGGGCATTATTATAAACAAACAAAGTAAACTATGTTCGATAAATCATTATCCATTACCCAAATGTAAACATATGCGGGTGTAATCGGACTTTATCGTTATGAGGTAACTGCAGCTGTTCGTTTAAATCCAAAATTTTATTGTATTTATATGCAATAATGGGACATCATTTCTTTATTAAGCATTATACCTACTCATGATCATGAAAATGCAAATATACGTACATTCAGCACTCTTTGTAAGTTATTGCTCGGTTTATAGGATCCTGAATAGCTGAAGGGGACATTGAGAATACCCGACCGCTGAGAAAACCGGACAAAACCCTCGGTCCGAAAGCCGTCCGGTTTTCTCAACTTTCACTGTACTAATAATTTTTGTGCTAGAGTTGTAAACCTTGTCACATATGATGTGGTTGATGACCAGAAACTTATATTTAAAGTTTGAAGTAAACACCTTAAGAAATAAAGAACTTATAGTGAAAAAGCTGAAAAATTTAAATAAGAAATCTTGAAATTCAGGCTATTTGTTGCCATAGCAACCAATATTTTCAACAAAAAAGAAAAAGATGTGCATAATCTCCAGACTGCCATCTATCCATATTTTAAGTTTCATAAAAATATTTTCAGTACTTTTTGAGTTATCACTGGATCCAGTTTATGTTTTAAATTTGCCACATTGTCAGACTATTTGTTGCCATAGCAACCAGAATTTTTTAACATAGGAACAAAAGAAAAAGACGTGCATAATTTCCATACTGCCATCTATCCATATATCAAGTTTCATAAAAATATTTTTAGTACTTTTTGCGTTATCACGGGATCCAGTTTTGTGAATGGACGGATTGACAGACTGACAGATAGAGGGACGGCCGGACAGACAGACGGACGGACGGAGGGTAAACCTAATGTCCCCTCCGGTTAAACCGGTAGGGGACTAATAAATCTAAAGTCCCCTCCGGTTAAACCAGTAGGGAACTAATTAATGTAAATGCAAACAGAGACACTAAAGATCAATAATCAACAAGAGTTGTCAGTAGGACAGCCTGCTCGACTCTTTTGGGTGCTTAATAGCAAAACAAGAACCCAGATTATGTAAAATTTTTAGTTTATCCCTTTACCTCATATACTGACTTGTTTTGACTGCTTTTTATCCCCCTTTTTAACGACTCAGTGAAAAAATGCCCTATTTAGGCCCCAAACACAGTTCTTTTTGTTTGAGAAATGTTGATAAAAAAAGTTATCACTTTTTCGGCGCCACCACCTATCAAAAAAGTACATCAAGTGGTTGCCAGAAGGGGAATGTGCCCCCTTCTGTTTCGGGGTTTGAAGGGGGCAACAGTCCCCTTCTGCCTCATTGCCAAGAAAATTTTGGACATGTGACAGGCTAAAAGGTAACTTGTAACCAACGCTGAAATGCCTTTTACTCTATCTCAATCCATTGAGAAGTTGCAGCACTTTGAAATCAGTTTTGATGGGAAAAAAAAACAATGCAAGATAGTGATTTTTGGCAATTTTGAGACGTCCCCCATTGCCATGGTAATAGGAAATTTAAGATCAGTCTGTTACAGAATCTATGGTCAAGTCAACATTTGTGCCAAGATTCATCAATATCATCATGAAGCATTTTTCATAGTTTTATAGCAGTTTAAAGTTGTAAAGTTAGGAGGCTTTTCAATGAAAACGGCCATTTTTCACAATATGCTCATGCAGTAAATGATTAAACAAGAGCACCGCTAGGCGGAGCATTATATGCCCGAAAGTGATTTTTTTTTTGTAAAGATGAAGCATTTGTAAGACATTGGAGTAAAATAAAGTATTACCTCCTTCAAATAACAATCCTCCTTTGAAGTTTCAATATTGTGGTCCAAATGGAACTTTAAATTATGCTCAAGAAACTGTTTTCAATTTCTAAGTAATAGTGACCTTGACCTTTGACCTTGTGACCCCAAAATCAATAGGGGTCTTCTACCCAATATGGACAATCATCCTATGAAGTTTGATCACTGTGGGCCAAATGGAACTTAAGTTATGCTCCGGAAACTGTTTTAAGTTTTAAGGTCATAGTGACCTTCACCTTTGACCTTGTGACCCCAAAATCAATAGGGGTCTTCTACCCAATATGGACAATCATCCTATGAAGTTTGAACACTGTGGGCCAAATGGAACTTAAGTTATGCTCCGGAAACTGTTTTCAGTTTTAAGGTCATAGTAACCTTGACCTTTGACCTTGTGACCCCAAAATCAATAGGGGTCTTCTACCCAATATGGACAATCATCCTATGAAGTTTGAACACTGTAGGCCAAATGGAACTTAAGTTATGCTCCGGAAACTGTTTTCAGTTTTAAGGTCATGGTGACCTTGACCTTTGACCTTATGACCCCAAAATCAATAGGGGTCTTCTACCGAATATGGACAATCATCCTATGAAGTTTGAATATTGTGGGCCAAATGGAACTTAAGTTATGCTCCGGAAACCAAATTGCTAACGGACGGACGGACGCCAGGGTGTATAACATAATATGTCCGAAATTCTTTCGGGCATATAAAAATGGCAGTGATTCTGTCATATTGTTACAGTTATGGGCTTTGACCTATAATTATGCTCTCAAATTAGTGTGTGAGGTTTCAACCCATTCCCTTGAGAAGTTATGAACTTTACCAAAGTATGCTGCCGGTGCTGATGCCTTGGTGAGTATTTTTCTTTGACTAGTCAAGCTAACAATGGGCAAGATGAACCAGACAAAGTAATTCAATCTGCCTAAATTAACAGCATGAACCAAAAGAATTCAAGAAGTGAATCCATCATTCTTCCATAAACTAAACTGATAGATTAATGTAATGAATGAGCATTACAATTTTAATACAGTCTAACTTGCCCATGAGACCACGTGTATTAAGCGACTTTTGTCTTAAGCCACCACTTTAAATCCCCCCGATCATTTTCTCTCTATATCTTTAATGTATTAAGAGACTTTTGCTCAACGCGACCAGTGACCGCCAATTAGTTACATAATTGAGATCAGTCTTTTCTTTAAACGACCACTTTTACCTGTCAAGTAATTGTGTTTTTAGAGAACACCACCTCGTAATGTCACAAGTGTCAACACTCAAAGCACAACAAATAAATGTGTAAAAAACTCTATTTCCCAAACTGTTTTAGCGTATGCAAATGAAGTTAAGTATATTCGAGATGTGTATTATCCAATAAAATCGGATAAACAATGCAACGCTCCACCCCTACTGAGATGGTGTATACGCTTCGCTTGTTGACATTCACTGCGAAAAAAATACTGATATACGGGAATATACGGTCCCGTATTTTTGACATATACGGGCGTGTACGGGATGTATTTGTCGAATATACGGACCTAGTATACGAGTCCGTATAGGGAACACCGGGTATACGGGAAGTCCGTATATGCATCAGGCATATACGGAATTCCGTATTTGCACCATATACATGTACGTATATTTGTTCGTATGTTTGAAGTATACGGAGAATAAAATCCCGTATACGGACTTTATCAAGGTTGTTATCCCTAGTATACTATAAATATACCAAGGATATACAAGACGGTATTTTCTACATGTACAGAGGATATACGGACTCGTATTTTCTATGTATACAGGGGATATACGGAACCGTATATTCTACATATACAGATGATATACGGACTCGTATTTTCCACATATACAGATGATATACGGAATCGTATTTTCCACATATACAGAAGATATACGAATCGTATTTTCTACATATACAGGGGATATACGGAATCGTATTTTCAATATATACAGGGGATATACGGAATTGCATTTTTTAGTTGTACACAGGGTATACAGAACTGTATTATCGAGATAAAAGAAGGTACAGATACTATCAAAAGCATGCATTTACATATAAGTAACACGTATACATGACCGAAATGCAGGCTTGTACAATAGAACATGTTTGATTACACATTGTGAATTGGAACTGTAAAGTCATATGCTTAAGAACTTTATCTTCACAATTGGAGTATTTCAAATAATAAAGTAAAAACCAAATCGAGTCACTCTTAAATATTTATTATTTCATAAACATATATTCAATATGTATACATATATATAACAAAATAAACATGTCTTCGCTACAATAGTCATATATTGTTGTAAGCCTTATTCCAGAGGGACACATTAATGTAGCGTTGCAACGGAACGGCGATATACCGGTATGTTGCAATACAGAGTCATGAAATACGTATCACGGTGCAGAACATCCGCACCGCGATATTTTCTTCAGAGATCGAATTATACATGTACATTTTTCGATATTTTCAAGCCGTAACCTTTATGAATTGCATGTTGTTTAAATCTAGAACAAACTATGCTAACTTGAAGTTCTTTTCGATTTATCTTAACAATGATTCATATGAGCCACTTATATTACACCCATAAAACATTTTAAAGATATTCATATCATTTGCTCGTGTTAACATTCACATGTTATTTTAGGAAAATGAGTCCATGGCACAAATTGATAATTACAGAAAGTTTTGATAATAAGCATTAAAATTAAAAATCCGTAATTACAAAAATTCGTCATTCAAACACTGTTCTTAAAAACACTTAAAAATATCAATCATCTATAGGCCAGTGTGGCGGTGTCTATTTCGTGACGTAGGAAATGTATGTTTTCTCCAGATATTACAATCTTCTTCGGCATGTGTGTATCTGAAAAAAAGATAGTTTAAAATCCTGTTTAAATAGTGTCATGAAATAGTTATCACAACTTTCAAAAAGTCTTTACGCAAGCATTTTTTTAAGCGTATACATATATACAATTTTTTTTCTTACGCAAATTTCAAAATTATCTTATATCATTAGGATAAAGATGTCATTTATAAGCAACCATTTACACGGGATTTAAATGAAATGATTAATCTTTGACGGATGATAAGTTATATGTTTTTGTTATGAAACTTTTACGAATATATTATTTCACACTTGTAAAAGGAAAAATTGGGAAAAAGTGCTGACATAATCATTTTGATCGTTTTACGATGTATATATGTATCGTTAGTAGGAGTCAATTCGTTTGAAAAAAATGGTTTAAAATGTACAGATATTTGCAACTCAGATGTAGATCCGTGTTTGCACAATGATAAGTTAAGTAAAAAGCGGAATACCCAGCTATACTTCTCATTTATATAAAAAAAGTAAATCTTAACAAATTTGGTTTTCAGTTTCAATTGTTTCAAAAACTATCTCATCACAACTTCACAGCAACGAATGAATACAATAGTGTAGATTAATATTTTTTTTATTGTTAAGACTGTTTAACTAGGTCAGTTGGCAAAAGAATCTCTTACAGTGTGCCATCACTAAAAATAAAGTGATAATTCTCACAAAAATTATAAATCAAAATATCCTCCCTTGCCTATAGCATTAATCTGATAGTATGAAATCAAATTCAGAAAATAAAATATACGTATCATATGTGACAATTGCATAAAATAACATAGGAAATATTTTAGTTAATACATGCGAATGCGACAGTATTACGTGCGCACGTGAAACATTTACGTATCAACGCCATATCATGATATGTTTCACGTGCGCACAAGTACTGTGCGTTTAGTATAATAATTAATTGACGAGGTGGTCAAGTCCACCATCCAGGTGTAAAACAGCTATCATATTGTGTTTATTATCTTCAAACAGGCTAGCTATATAAATTAAATTATCAACAAATTTACCAACTCTCAGCGTAATGCAGTAGGTAAGGTTGTGGTAAATATCAATGCAAGACAGCTAGGCTCGGATTGCACCTTTTTCCCAAAAGTATTGCTTTATAATTATCAATCAAGTAAAAAGTTTTGTATCATTTATTGCAAAGATTATAAATGCTGTGCTATTTTCTATTAACTTCTCATTTTGTTTTAAATATGGCTATATTTAGCCCTATTTAGCAAGTTGGTGCAAATTTATACGGAATGCATGATACTGTACAACTAAAGTTAAGTTTGCACGAAATACTCCTGCACTGCAAAAGTACTATGACTTCTACATACTACACACTATACAGGATAAAAATCACTATCATCCGTGCATGTATATCTAAATTATTAAATATCATAACAAAACCACCTTTCTATTCCAATTCATTTTTCTAATGTAAAATTAAAAAAAAATATATGGTAAGAAAAACGCAAAAAAGTGAGACAACTTGTGAGGCTCGAACTCGTGATAAAATTTAATGTGTATGAAATTCGAATGACTTTACTAACTTTGCCATCAAGACATTTCAAATTCGGTTTCTTATCTTACATTATATTCGCTTCTGAAAACCCTGTTATACCTATTCAGACAAAGGTTGTTATAGTCTGATTTTATTGACCTGTCAATTATGAATACATTAATAGCACTCATTTAAATATTCGATCACATTTCGGTTTCGTCCGTGTAGTTACGAGAATTAATGTGGAGTATATAACTAATGTTTTGAAAAAGTCACACTAGCTTAATGTACGTTCGTTGTCACATCTGCGATAGCACAATCAGTTAAGCGTTTGCCTTATATTCGAGAGATCTGTGGTTCGATCCCTACTGTTACCATTATTTTTAAACCTATTATTTCTATATTTTGATGTTTATTTATACGGAAATGGCCAATTGTTTGCAAAATTGTCTACACGGATTAAAGCAAATAAGAAACATTGTTTTCTTTCGATTTGTATTGCGTTTTATGGCACTGAAATGACATTTATCAATTTCAATTGGAATGAATATAAATTATTAATTCATACAACATGTTATTCAAAAAGTGTATAGACTTTACCAAAATAAATGCAAAACATATTTTAAAAAAAGAACATCATAAAAAACAATCAGATTTCAATAATGTTGAAACTATCAATGAGAAAAAAACACATTGACATACGCGGTCTCGAACTTACAGCAGGTAGGTCATTTAAATATTATAAACCAGTAGTTCACCCGAGTGCGCTATAAAGGTCAGTATAGCTATTTCACAGACACAAATTAAATTCAATCACAACTTACTGCGTACATCTCACGAAACTTACCGAATATATGTCGGAAATTAATATATTGTGTGCATAGACCGTGTAATCAGTATGCATTTGACAGGTTAATAAAATCAAACAATAACTTTAGTGTACATGCACAAAAGAAAATGTAGAGTCACTCTCACATTATCAAAGCGGCGTACTAATATCGCTTACGCACGTAGTAACTAAAAAATAAATACTATCATTAACATATATAAAAGTGATTAAACTGTGAAGAAATACATATTTTTTTGATACAGTAATATGTTTAAGAAAAGAAAACTAATTTAATAAAATAAAGTCGCATGCACAGTGCATCTATATCAAACAATTGTGTGTGTTGGAGTTGTATATATTTTATATATTTGATTTTTGCATATTAAAAGCAAGGATGTTTTAGCATTTTCAAATGCGCTGCAAAATGCTTATATGCCTTAATTGACATCATTTTATGACATCATTCCGCCAACAAGATATAAAAGAGAACCAATGTATTTATAACTAACCACATTTATTCATGTCAAAATAAATGCGTGTAATTAAGGAAATTTGACTTTTCCTTGAGAAAGATTAAAACACATGATGTCAGTACGGATGGGAATATATGAGTCTGTGTAACTCTTCTTTACAGACAGTACGTCCGTGTAATTGTCTTATTTTATTCACAAAATACAACAATGTATATACGTGAACTTACATCTATATTACTTGCTACCATACTTTGCTTCATCTATAATTGCTGTTAAGAGGGCACAGCTGCATTTCTGGAAGATTTAAACACGCTGTACACTGTCCTGAAAAAATCATAATATAACTTCATCATAAACTGATAAAGAGCACATTGAAAATATTTCATAAGTGATCACATGTGCGAAAGTGTTAATACTGTAGGAACGTGTTCACTTTTATGTGCATGTGTAGTTATGTATGTTTGTGTGTTCGTGCGTGCGTGCGTGTGTTACCATATCGCTTTATGTGAAATATAAGTCAAAATATGGAATGTCGAAAAAAATTGTGATGTACAAAGGCTCTATACAGTTAATTTATGTATAACGAAATATTAAATAACTGTTTCCTCAAACAGGCGCGTGTTTGTGACTGACCCATGCGATATCACCTTATGCGTAATGTTTATCTTAAAAACTAAACAAAATGTTTTAATTATAATAAGAAACAAATATTTAAATTTTAATTATTTGTCCAATAAAAAATCCAATATAAATGTTGAAAACTCAGTTCATGTATATACAATTTAAAATCTGTGCTATCCTGAACAACGTAGATAAATAACCAAGAATATCGAATGAAAAAAGTTGTCTGTCCTGAATTGCGAGTAAACTCGATATTATGCTAAAACAATACAAACAAAACCGTTTTAAAACTTCTGGTTCGTTGCTATATTTTATATGCACGAGTTTTAAAATTCTTACACCGACACTAAGCTTCGTATCAATGTAAATATAAGCATATCTTTTGACATCAAGGGTATTTATCTGTCATTCTTTGTATTAATGTAAATAAAAAATTCTGACAAATATTTTCTTTTTTATTCATCTAAAGGTATGATGATATAAATGAAAAAAGAAATATTGGTATGCTATTTTTGTTTCAGATTAGTATTAATTTATATATAGTTAATATAAATAAGAAATATATAGAAACATGTGTACAGAAACTTAAAAAAAGTGAATAAAAATGAAAACAGCGGAGTCTTTAAAGTGACTTATATTTGCATCAAATAATGGGGATTTGTATAAAAATAAAACCTGTGAATATAAAACAAGTATTCTGCTCGTTGACTGAGAAAGACGATTTTATCTAAAAAAATTATAAACATATTTTTTTAGAAGTACTAAGCAATTTTCTTTTAAAATATGTTAATCTGTTAAATCTCATAATTTTTGTTATTATATTGAATAGATAAAAAAAAACCTATTTTTCGGCTATCTATTTCATAAAGTACTATTAAAACAAATAGAATTTGAGTGTGTCTTTTCAGCTTGCTTGATTGCGCATTGACTCGCACCCCTGATTTTAAGTGATAATTGAGATCGCTCAAGATTATTATAAAGTCCAATCAGTTGACCAATCAAGCATACATAGGTCGTGTCACACACACTGATTAATCCTTTTGTACTACCATGTCCAGGGGCTGTAATACCTTGACATCTTCGATGTTTAAATGTCGTAATTTTTAACGTGGTGTCTTTTTTACCCTAAAGGGAAGTTATGATTAACGTATTTTAGAAATAACCTTTTCTTTTTTTTTGTTTTTGCATTTTTCAAACAAATTATTTATTAAACAAGATACAGTTTAGAAATCAAAATCAAACTCGTAACCTCAGAGTCTAAATTTGGGGATATAATCCTGCTTTAATTATCTAATCCGGCGGCCATATTGAATAGCGAAACAGATTAAAAAGTGTTAAAGTTTTCTAAAAACAAATCAGTTTAACCCTGAAATAAGCTGTTGTTCACAAAATGCAACTATTTTATTGATCGCATATTGATATTACAACGATAAAAAATAACTTTTAACCTACCTTGTTTTGCAATATTCTGAATTTTATTAACCATCCATTTCCAATCGCGTTTTTTTCTTTTTTCATTTCGCCCGCGCTATTTCTGATTGGTTGATAGGATTCACGTGATACAAAACCAACGCTTTAAACTCATTGGCTGTTTTGAAAACGCGTGATATGCCTAGATACCGTTTGTACAATAAAGCATTTAGCATTAATAAAGCCACGGATTTATATTAAGGTCCGTGATAATCATACTAAGTCAAAATAATGCAATATTAAATAGGAAATTTCATGTATCCATAAACGATAACTTTGCATACATGTATAACATAAGAATTGATACTTTTAAATAGGCAAAACTTTAATTCTAATGCTTAATCAGTTATTTATTTTGTAATAATAATAATAATAATAATAATAATAATAATAATAGTAAAATTTATCATATATTTTAGTTTGACAACTGTAATTAAGTAAATGTATGTGTGTTGAAAGCTCAGTACTTATATTAAAAATAACTTTTTATTCATTATCTGCTCTAATGGAATAACTGTTCTGTTTGGGACTTTATTCATATTATGTCCCAGTTTCTATTATGCAGCAGACACGTTATTTCATTCAAATAGGCTTTAAAGCCAATGAGGACACAAAACATACAAAATAACCAACAGTGTATGACTTCAACATATATACATTATATCAACAATCATCAAATGTTTGGAGATGATCGATTTGATTGATAAAGAAACTACCTGCCAATTTTTCACGTAGGTACACATATAATATCAAAATTAATATATAACTTACAAGTCTCTTACCAGGTACATTACACTCAAAGTTATTTCTCTTAAAAACAAAAAACTCTTCAGTATCACAATTTTGACTGATATGATTTACACACTGCCAAAGAATGTTGACGTATAGTAATAACAATCTTAACACTTACAAAATAACATTCACATATTCACATGTATTATGTATTATCTTAAAACTTACAAAATAATATATACATATTCACATGTAATTCTGCAACTGTTATCATAATTGATATATACATATATACATTACATGTAATACTCATTGAAAATTGTAATTATTATTGACTTTAGTACATGAACAATATTGACAGATGTGTCAAGGTTCAGAACAGTTCACTATTTAGAGGAGAAAATGGTCGGATAGCACCATGGCTGCATAAAGCTTAAGAGTTTTAGTTCGCATATTGCTTGTAAAATCTGTGAATTTTAATAAAGCAGGGGATTATGCCACTGTTCAGGAAAAGATTTGTAAGCGGCCGAATAGCTCAATCGGTTTCGGTCAGACTGCACATTTATCTCACTCTATGAAATACGACAAAGCATTTATAGATACAGTTATAGAATAAATCACATATCTTATGAACTATTTATTACACGATGATTATATACAATACTTCTATTACGTTATATCTACGATTTTTACAAATGAGTTTGTTTATAATGAGCCGCGTCATGACAAAAACCAACTTAATGGGTTTGCGACCAGCATGGGTCCAGACCAGCCTGCGCATCCATCTGCGCAGTCTGATCAGGATCCATGCTGTTCGCTTACCAACCCTATTACAAGAGGAGAAACTGACAGCGAACAGCATGGATCCTGATCAGACTGCGCGGAGGCGCAGTCTGGTCTGGATCCATGCTAGTCGCAAACCCATTATGTTGGTTTTGTCATGACACGGCTCATATAATCACTTATGAGATCACTTACGGGAGATGATAGTGATATTTTTCAAGAAATGCTATTTCGAATAATTTGACATCATCTATCAACAATACATGTACATACACCCCAGTGACATCCATCTGATTCTAGCTTGTTAACTTAAATAAATTGGACCTGGCAGCAGGGTACTTCAAAATTTACTTTAAGATAAATCTTAATTGTGTCTTGTATAAATGACAAATTCCGCCAGATAAAATGATAACAACAACACGACATTGCAAAAACATTTGAAAGAATACAGCAGCTATGTCTGTTTCATTTTAACATGTCAGGTTAGAGTCTTTATAATATCTGGATCAACCTGGGACATACGATAAGTTATCGTATATCCCAGGATCAACAAAATCACATAGAGACTCGATTATGAGATCACAATTTAATTCCTTTATTTCGTACATGAATTATATTAGAAATAAACAGTAAAAATTACCGTTAAGACATTCAACACCAATTGCGCTAACTTACGTAATCAGAGAAAACCGACACTCGTTATACCCTGCTGCGTTTATGATCAATATCCGGATCAATATCCGGCTTAATCAGTATTGGCTTCGATTATCGCAAAACAGCACGTGGCTATTACACAATATTATATCATAAATGAGACCGCGCGGAAAGAATCAAAATTGGGAAATTCGGAACTTCATAAGATTTCTATGCAAAAACGCAGATCTTTATGTTTCCTGAAATAAAAGATTGAATAAATAAATAAATAAATATAAGAATATATGAGTGATGAATGAATGTGTGAATAAATGATTGGTTGATTGATTCAGTGAATGAATGAATGATGGATGGATGGATGGATGAATGAATGAATGGTGAATGAATGAATGAATGATGAATGAATGAATAAATAAATGAATGAATGATTGGTTGATTGATTCAGTGAATGAATGATGAATGGATGAATGAATGATAAATGAATGAATGAATGAATAAATGAATGAATGATTGGTTGATTGATTCAGTGAATGAATGAATGATGGATGAATGAATGAATAAATGAATGATGACTGAATGAATGAATGAATGTAATGTAGGAGATATATCAACGTAAAATTTAAATGCTGTGTGGACAATCCCGAATTTATCTTCATGATTTCACAATTATTTTAACTTTCACGATTTCAACCTTACAGATTCACGATTTTAATATAATTAATTCATGTTTTGAACTTCACAATTTCAAATTTATCATTTTCTCATGTTTGGCTCTTCATTATAAAATATTATAATGATAATGAAAAAGAAATTACAAAATAACATGATTCACCATAGATGCAAAATACAAAAACGTACTATCTAATCGTCAATCGCAATTGTAAAGTATTCGCTATTACACAGCGGTATTGAGCTACATTACCGCGTCTGCATGCTACAGGTGGATGGATGTCTTACACGTTCTGCTGTGCACTGACGGTATAATTCGCTATTTCTATATACAGAATCCTTATTTGCACGAATACGGAATTTCGTATTTTAGTAATATACGGACTTGTCATAAAAATTCCGTATATTAGTAAAATACGGACTTCGTACATCAAAATTCCCGTATATTACGAGTGTACGGAGTTCGTATACTAGTCATATACGGACTGATATAATATACGGCCCTGTACATTTCCGTATTTCAAGTTTCCCGTATTCTTACACGTATATTAATGATATACGGAATTCCGTACACTTCCGTATATCCATGTCTTTTTCGCAGTGATTTAGACTGCATTGAATTGACCTTGAACTTGATCAGCAATTAAATTATTCATAACAATTAGATGTTGTTTGTTAATTTCAAATGAAAAAAATGCACAACAGAAAACATTCTCACTAATAGGGTTTTAGTGTTGGAAAAAGGAAAAACAATGGAGAAGTTAAAAAAAATCTTGAAAAATGTCAAACATGTCTATATAATGGAGCAACTTAAACTGTTTTGTCAATAAATATCAGAAAGTAATTTTTTACATAAGCATCCATTCAGATTATCGGAGCATACTAATTATTCAAAATTTATATAAATTAAATAAAGTTGAAAAACATTCCCACTGCAAAAGAAAGATGTCATTATAAATTTTGACTTTTTATATCATGCTTTGTCTTAAGAGACTGTTTCATTAAGCAATTGTTTAGGGTGTTTCCCTTTCGTGGTCGCTAAATACAAGTTTGACTGTATTTGATTACAAAATCCTCAAAATAGTTATAATAAAGTGACATTATGCCAAACAAAGTGTAAATGGCCAGTCAAAATAACCTTACAACGTGCTGTACTTGTGTTAAATTTTATATTTTAATATGGAAAAAAAATCAACAATCCATGTGACCCACAGAAATTTCTATAATACCATAAGTATTGCGATGTAACATTCAATTTTTAAAAAAGAGTGGGACAGTATTTTAAATAATTTTAATAACCTTTAACATAGTCAAATACCATTATAACAGTCAATCATTTTAAAATATGTAAATTATTCAGCTCTACTTAATAGAAAACAAGGCCAATGTCACAATTTACACCTGTCACAGAAGCTTTTGACAGAAATGTGGGCATATAGGAGATATGCTCTTGGCAATATCTAGAAAATATCTGGATATATTATCATCTCTAAAGATTCTTTTATCTGAACTTTGACCCGTATGTTTTTACCATGACCTGGACCACAGGGACCTAAATTTGGCGCATGACACTCCAACTCACAATAGTTAACATTATTTTGTGCCAAGTTATATTAAAATCCCTTTATGCATGTAGAAGTTTTGCTCCAGACAAACGTTTTTCAATTACCTCTAAGTGTGACCTTGACCTTTGACCTAGAGGCCTGGTTCATGCAGGCTACACAGATTTTGATAATGGTGAACATTTCTATGAAGTGTCATTTAAATTCCTCCATGGGTGTAGGATGCTCCAGACAAAAATTTGACGCCGCCCGCCCAGCCACCCGCCAAGGGGGAAACTATAATACGACCAGTTTTTTAAACAGCATAATTATCAAAATGGGCAAAATTAAGCATAATGTAAGTTTAAAGAAGTAAATTACCTCAGAATAAGGTTTATAGTCATCCCAGCAAGGCCCAACAGCATGAATTACATAATTATAAGACATCTTTCCAGCACCAGTATGGCAAACCTTTCCAACTCTTAATTTCCCATGTTGCTTCAAATAATCGCGACCCTCTTTTGTGAGATCTTTTCCTGCGGCATTAGCTATGGCTCTTGCTATTCCTCCACCATGTTTCAAATCTACATTAGCAGCATTAACAATGCAGTCAACAGGCACGCATAAAATATCTGAAGAGTAAACTTTTACTGTTATTTTCTCTTTTGTTTCAAAAACATATAATGCTTTTGCACGTGTTGACCATGAAAACTGTCTGCTGAATCCAGGAGTCTTTAGGTTGGAGCCTGCATCTTTTGTATCCTTTGGGCTGTTCTGTTCAGAATGACCTCTAGGGGGCAGAAGTCTGACAACTTTATCTTTTGCATCTTTTACATCTTGCCATAGTTTTCCAAAGAAACTCACCGATGTTCCATTGTTACTGACACTACACTTTACCTTTGAACTTTTTTCTATTTCTTTAACTTTTTTCCTCACATCATCCTGGCTGAACTTCCCCTGAGTAAGGTCAAGTAAGTCATAAGTTGGATATTCTTTCTGCATATTCATCAAAGCCTTAGTGATCTCAGATTTTCCTATGGCACATACCTCTGATGTAAACTTAATAATAAGTTCATCTTTTGTGAATGAAACATCACAATCAGATTTTTTAAGCCTGCCTATTACATCAGCACAACACATCTCAATGAATTCTATTGTATATCCTTTTGGTAAGGGGAACCTGCACTCTACTTTAGGTGATCCAACTTGAGAACCTGGGTTTGGAATGTTAAAATGTGATGTTCGTATTGAGCCTGAATGACGTATCTCACTGGATGAAACTGTAACTGAAATATATTAAATGTAATAAATAATAACATACATAGAACATGCTTTTTAAGGAATATTTAGTGGTGGCAAATCAAAACAAATGTTTCAAAATATATTTTGGACGCTTAAAAAGTTTAATATTGAATAATGTTTAAAGAATAAAATAGGCCTGAGTGATAAATTGCAAATCATTTGAACAATAAACCAAGCATTATTATAGTACAATGTAAGAAAAGTTAATATGTATTACCTCTATAACATTCTCATAAAAAAAGAGATCTGATAAAAATATGCTGAACTACAAAGAGCATAGAAGTAATTTTCCTGATGTCATTTGGTTTATTGACATCATATTTGACGTCATATAACGCGTAAACATTTGTCTTTTGTGCCGTGCTTATATTGTGTAATAATGCACTTGACAGTCCAATCTGTTTGATAGGGGAAAAATTAGGAGGCTTGTTAGTATAAACAATTGAACATACCATATTTCTTCAATGCTCGCTCAAATTCCTGAAAAAAGTGAAATAGTCACTAAAGTAATTAGGTGTTTCATTAATCAATTATGGTGCTAAATATCATAGAACAAACTTATTTAATAGAAATTGCGGATAAAATAATTTATCATTGACACTCATTTTCTAAATCTTTCCATGTTTTGTTTTGTTCTTTTAAAGTGGATGGTGGACGGGCACAATGAAATGGTATGCAAAATAAGAGGACATCATAACAAATGCAAATTTTAGGCAATTTTTTCACAACACTAGAGCAATTTGTCATTTTGTTGCATTGTCTCTTACTGCAACAAGTTATGCAAACTTAAATTTTAATAGCTTACCCTTTAAAACAAAAATGTGTTCTCTACAGTAAAAAGCAACATAACAGCAATTGTCTTAAGAAATTACAGATAACAAAAACAAGAGCCAGTTGAACCCGGTGATGTTCCCCGACTAGGTTTTGGACACAGAAAATATCAGAGTGTGATAATTACAAACTTAGGCAAGGCAGGGTTACTGTTCTTTGCACTGCACTTAAACTACCCAATGAGATCTATCTACCAACTTAAGCGCTACACATCGTCTCAATTTGGTGATCATTTTTGTGAAATATTTGTGAAATCTCACTTCAAATAACAAAGTTGTGCGCCAGACACAATTTTGCTGCAAGTTCATGCTGTGACCTTGACCTTCAAGGAAGCGACCCAAATGTTGCATGTGACACATCATCTCAATATGGTGATCATTTGTGTGAAATAGTTGTAAAATCTGGCTTCAAATAACGAAGTTATGGGCCGGACATGATTTTGCTGCAAGACCTGCAAGGTCATGCTGTGACCTTGACCTTCAAGGTAGTGACCTAAATGTTCCACGCAACATGTATCTCAATATGGTGAGCATTTCTGTGAAATAGTTGTAAAATCCGACATCAAATAACAAAGTTATGGGCCGACACGATTTTGCTCATGGTCATGCTGTGACCTTGACCTTAATTTAAAGGTAGTGACCCAAATGTTGCGTGCAACACGTCATCTCAATATGGTGATCATTTCTGTGAAATAGTTTTAAAATCCGACTTCAATAAATGAAGTTATGGGCTGGACAAGATTTTGCTGCAAAGTCATGATGTGACTTGACCTTCAAGGCAGCGACCAAAATTTTGCATGTGACACGTCGTCTCAATATGGTGATCATTTCTGTGAAATAGTTTTAAAATCCGACTTCAAATAATGAAGTTATGGGCAGGACATGGTTTTGCTGCAAGGTCATGCTGTGACCTTGAGCTTCAAGGTAGGGACCCAAATTTTCCGTGTCATCTCAATATGGTGATCATTTCTGTGAAATAGTTGTAAAGTCTGACTTAAAAAAAACGAAGTTATTATCAGGGCCGGACATGATTTTGCTGCAAGGTCATACTGTGACCTTGACCTTAAAGGTAGTGACCAAAATTTGCACGCAACACAACGTCTCAATATGGTGATCATTTCTGTGAAAAACTTCTAAAATCCGACTTCAAATAATGAAGTTATGGGCCGGACCTGAATACGGGACGTACGGATGGACTGTCGGACGTCCAGCCAAATTGGAATAAGGGGCAATTTCTATTCTTATTTTCTTTTGTTTAACAGAGGGCCAATGGCCCCTTACTCTATTGTTACCGAATTAACTCTACTGGGATCCTACATATTACCTGACAAAATATGAAGTTTTTTATCTGTAACTTTTATTTCAAATAATAAAAAAGAATGGAATTTTACCCAAATAATTGTGGGTTCTTAATGCACGTAAACATTTTTTTATCAAACATGAAATTAAACATTTGACTGTAGAAATGTGTCTTTAAAGTAGGCCATTATAAGAGGAAAAAAAATCAAGCAAACAACTCAATTTACCAGACATTGTTTCAAACATTTTTGAAGTCGTGAATTAAAATTAATATTTAAACAATCAGCAAGGAAACTACAACTGTTGAATGACAAGGTTAAGATATTTTAAAAACCCAGTATGTCACTAGAAATAGACATGGCAGCCATGCCTGTTATGAAGAGGCCAATATATGGTGTAATTGAAATTAACACTATTAACTCAATTAGCGTATTGATTCTTCATGATCCTTAAACGTATGAAACATTTTAATATTCAAATGGAATTCTGTTCTTTGTCATACAGTTTCCTTTTGGTCATCATGTAGTATGTTAAACAAGCCATAAAATCTATTTTATTTACATTTCATGTAGAGTTTCCTCCCATGGGTGTAACCCGTTTCCTTATATGTTTCTAATTTACACTTCTTTGTAAAAATAAACAACGAGATACTGTTAAGATTAAATTTAAAATAACTTTTTATCATTAAAATATGTTACGATTGTATCTTAGGTAACGTTGAAAAGAATTAAAAGTAAAACCTATCTAAACTAGAACTATCACTAAATGTGATTAATGACCCCCCCCCCCCCAACAAGAACTATCACTAAATGTGATTAATACCCCCCCTCCCCACCTGCAAGACTGCTTCGAATATGAGGAAGTTACAAGTAACAGAATACCTTGTAAAAGAATTGAAATAGAGTTATGGTTGTGGGCAATTAAAGATAGTTGTGGTTTTTGTATGTTGCATTTCCTTACAATATGGTTGACCATTGATGAAGTTTTATTGAATTACTCTGTAATAAATCCAGAAAGAATTATGCTTCTTGAGCACTGCACTTCCCCTCATTGAGCTTGACCATTGTATGAAGTTGCATTGAATTCTAAACATTAGTTTTAAGTTATGCACTGGACAAGGAAAAGGAACAAAGATCAATAACTCTACAAATACTGAAGACAGAGTTATGGTTATTGTACACTGCACTTCATTTCGCTTGACCATTGTATGAAGTTGTATTGAATTCCAAGTTCTAGTTTTCATGTTATGCACTGGACAAAAAAGTAACAAAGGGCAATAACTGTAATGAGTCAAAATAGAGTTATAATGCTTCTTCTACACTGCAGTTCATCTCACAGCCCTTGACCATTGTATGAAGTTTCATTGAATTCCAAACATAATTTTCAAGTTTTGCACTGGACATTAAAAAGTAACAAAAGGCAAACACTCTTAAATGAGTCAAGAAAGAGTTATGGTTTCTGTGCACTGCCCTTCCTCTCAATATTCTTGACCATTGTATGAAATTGTATTGAATTCCAAACAGTACTTTTCAGTGCTCTAGACAAGAAAAAAGCAATGGAAAAGTAACAAAGGGCAGTAACTCAATAATTACTCCAGACAGAGTTATGGTTCTTGTGCACTGCACTTCCTCTTAATGTGCTTGATGATTGTATGAAGTTGTATTGAATTCTAACTACTAGTTTTCCAGTTATGTTCCAGACAAAAATAAGCAATGGAAAAGTAACATGTTATGGTCCAGACAACGAAAAGTAACAAAGGGCAATAACTCTGTAATAAATCAAGATAAAGTTATGGTTACTGTACACTGCACTTCCTCTCAATGTGCTCTATCATTGTATTAAGTTGTATTGAATTCCAACCATTAGTCTTCCAGTTATGCTCCAGACAAAAATAAGCAATGGAAAAGTAACAAAGGGCAATAACTCTGTAATTAATTTAGATAAAGTTATGGTTCTTATGTCCTGCACTTCCTCTTATTGTGCTTGAGAATTGTATGAAGTTGTTTGGATTCCAAGCAGTAGTTTTCAAGTTATGCCCAAGTAACTTCCTCTCAATGTGTTTGACCATTGTTTGAAGTTATATTGAATTCCCATATTAGTCTTCAAGTGATGGTCCAGACAAAAGAAAGCAATGGAAAAGTAACAAAGGGCAAGAACTCTGAAATTACTTTAGACAGAGTTATGAATCTTATGCACTGCACTTCCCCTTATTGTGCTTGACCATTGTATGAAGTTGCTTTGAATTGCAACCAGTAGTTTTCAAGTTATGCTTCGAACAAGGAAAAGTAACAAAGGGCAATAACTCTGTAATTAGTCAAGATAGAGCTATGGTTCTTGTGCACTGCTCTTCCTCTCAATGTGCTTGACCATTGTATGAAGTAATATTAAATTCCAACCATTAGTCTACAAGTTATGGTACGGACAAAAGAAAGCAATGGAAAAGTAATAAAGGGAAAGAACTCTGAAATTACTTTAGATAGAGATATGATTCTTGTGCAATGCACTTCCCCTTATTGTGCTTGACCATTGTATGAAGTTGTTTTGAATTGCAACCAGTAGTTTTCAAGTTATGCTCCGGACAAGGAAAAGTAACAAAGGGCAATAACTCTGTAATTAGTGAAGATAGAGTTATGGTTCTTGTGCACTGCACTTCCTCTCAATGTGCTTGACCATTGTATGCAGTTGTATTGAATTCCAACCATTAGTCTACAAGTTATGCCCTGGACAAGGAAAATGCAACGGACGTCTGGACCGGCCGACCGACCAACCGACCACCGGGTGACTCCTTTATACCACCCCCCCAAACTTTGTTTTTGGGGGTATAAAAAAAACCATTAATGGTCACTATATTCGGGCCTGCCCAGAACAGATTATTCCCCCGCATGACCAGGTCATGAAATAACTAGTAAACAAAAGATGTTAGTAGATAAAGAACAGAATCAACAATATTTACCTGAGAGTGGTTTTGATGTTATTTACTTAGAAATAGAAAGTGTGTGTACAATTCTGACTGATTTTTTAATAGAAGCAAAAAATAAAGCACTATTTAGCAGTAATAGCTTTTGTCAGGTAAACTGATTGTCTGGTAAATATGTAGGATCCCTGTGAGTATTGTTTTCTTTTGTTCTGTTTACAGTTAGATAGCCCTAACCTATTCCTTAGTGCTAACAGACTGACGGACGGACGGACAGATGGACGGATGTTCCTACAAATAGACATTTATTGGGTGCTTCTTTTGTTTAAAAGTATCCAATAAGAGAACAAAAGTACCCAACAACACTGACGGAATGAATAGAATTAAACAAGTGTCCTCTCATGTACCGGAGGTTCCCAACAAGTGTCCTCTTGTGTGC